GGGCCAATAAACGTTCAGAAACCAGAAACTTTAAAAACACAAGCAAGTGAACAAACGAGAAAATTAAGTACCTTGAGGGCAGCCAGTGAAATACCTGCTTCAGCCTGCTCGATCGTCAGGGTCGGGAGGTCAAAGTTATTGACGAAAGCAGAGGCGTGTCGGATCTGGCTGGCCAAACACCCCCGTGTTCTAGCACCTCATGAATGGGATCCTCTAGGGTGATCCGTTCGACGGTTTTCAACATATGGGCTTGTTCGACCTATTCATGAGCACCACTAGGCGAGTCCAGATGCTCAGCAAAATGGGGGCAGTTTGGGTGGGCTCGAACGGCTGGTCCACCATCATCGCATCGAACTGAACCTGTTCGAGTGGCACATGCCGGACCGGCTCTGGCTATTGAACCACCAGTTGATAGGCTTTCGAGATCTGGGTCTGAACATGCTCCTTGACCTTCCTCTTCCTCTTGCTGGCACCACCGACCTGTTGCAAGCAACTTCTGTCCATGATTGCTTCGGGATAGGGAGCTGAAAAAAGCAAAGCGGGAAATTAGTACTGAGCGATCTTAGCGTGTGTGATACGTGCACATAATGTAAGTTTCTCGCATGGGAAGGACCGCCTGAGCCATGTCACTTGGTCTTCAGTTAAGAATTCTAGGAATTCGAGCGGTACCTATCCCGGCCTTGACCAGCCGATCGGGAGTCAGATAATCCATGATCTTGGATGTCTTTGCCCTCTCTACGGCAATGATTTTGTTTCCAAGGTCCTCTGAAACGAACAGTTCCATGGACTTAGGCGGGAAAGCGTTCCACCTCTTTGGGATGAGACCATCCGGGATAGAAACGAAGAAAAAATTATCTTTCCATCCCTTGATGGAGGTGAGATTCCCTGTAAAAAGGATCCGGCCTGTTCGGGGCTCACTGGTAAGAATTTGTGGGTCTGCTGGAGGTGACTTTAAAGAAATGATGAAAGAGGTCCAGATCGGGCGTCACGTCAACGTCAACGCACCGGCAGATGAACCCCGTAAGAATTTGGCATCATTTGGACCATGACCACTTCATATTGATTAAAGAAGGCTACAAAAAAGGGATGCAACGGGAATCTCATCCCGGCCTTGACGGAGTCATAATGCACCACCACCATTCCGGAGCGGTGGCGCTGTGGATGAAGCCCGGCATGGAGGCGGAAGTCGATAGGGTTTGGAATTAGGATAGGGATTTTGGGCCCTGAGCTTGGGGGAGAGCTTTTGTCTCCGTTTTCGGATGGATTTGAAATTCAGATGGTGGCGGGGAGTATCATCCGGGGGCAGCCCTCGCAACTGCCATATCGTCGCCGGATTTAGCGTCATCGGAATCACTGGCAGAGGAAGGGTACCCAACCGCATTGTCTGCAGCATCGCCGGACTTGGCGTCATCGGAATCACTGCCAAAAGAAGGGTCACCAGCCGCATTTTCTGCAGCGGCACCGGTGTCCGCCATATCTCCCCGAACCGGCTCAGTAACAGTATGGTCTGAACCAGAAGAGTCAGAAGGGCTAGGGCTCTCAGACATTGTGACCGAACAGGAAATGAAGAAAGAAGAAAGAAGTGAGATTCAAAAATTACCTGAACAAAGATTGAGATTAGGGTTCTTAACGAGAAGGTAGAGCAATTGGGCGAGTGAGCAAAAGTTCAGAAACCCAGAACCAGAGGCCCAATGCCTTATTTATAGGCTTAAAGCACTGATTCAACATCCAATCAGAGAAGGGCGCGTAGCGGGGAGCGTACCCAGAGACACGTGTCAAGCAAATATGGAATGTCAGGTAATCATGACATTGTGTCTAGGGAACGCAAACAACAGCCGCAAAGAACCGTCAAATCGTTGCTTCGGGAACCAGCGAACTCAACCATCACGCACCGAACGGGCAATACCGAACGATGGGGAAGCATATTTCTACTTCTTTATGTCCTGAACACGCTCGGAACATCGGAAGTGGGGTACTTGTGTTGGGATATTAGGGTCTGGCCCAATAGACCGACTCGAAATGTCCCTAAGGCCCAAAGGAAAACAATGGAGCCCAAAGAATACCAAACAGGATATTGGGGGTACCGAACGGGCTCTCATCCATGGGGCAGTAGCCGTTCGGTGCTTGCCGAACGGGTGGGACACCATACTTGGAAGGTAGGAGATATCATCCTTGGTTGCTGGCCATGCTAGTCTAAAGCACCGATCGAGAGTGCTCTACAAGTGGCAGGGGCGCATTCAATGCAGGAGCATGAGCACCTCAAGTGGAGGCATGGGAGCTACAAGTGGCAAGGGGATTAGCCATTGGGCTTCACCACGTCATCAACATCACCTATCCACCACGGGTATAAATAGTAGCATTTACTACATTGTAAAGGGTTAGCATTTGTCTACTCATAAGCATTATACTTACTCTAGCTCTTGTATTATATAGTGGACCGTAACTACCTTTCGGCCATTTCTTTGTAATCACTATTACGATAATACAATTGGAGATATTGAGTGATCTTATTAGCTGTTAGCCTTTCCTAAACACTTTCTTTTATTAATCACCCCTATAATTCGAAGGTTTGTGTTGGGCCTTTGGATCTACCGAGACTTAAACGCCAACAATGCATATTTCAAAAATATCATACTACATTAGATTTGCATATTGAAACTAATAGGAGTGGATTATAGATATAATTCAATAAGTTTTAATAAAAGAAAAAATAAGAAAAGAAAAATGAATTAGAAGATGTGAAACAGAGATCGTGATACTCATTGTTAATCTCCTAATACTCAATAAAATAGGTCAGATGCTCATTACAGGGTCCCACGGGGTCCCGGGACCCCGTTCTCCTCGGAAAAAATACCTATATATATATTATATATATTATATAAAATTAATTATTGAATGTATATTTACACAAAAAACAACCTTAGAACCAAAAGAACGAAGCAGAGGGATGGGAGCATGTGTGGTATTGAAAGTTTATATGTTGTTGGATGTATCAAGTACGAATTCCCCTCGGCTTCTATTTTTGTTTTCCAAAACTATTTTAATTAAACAGACCAAAACTACGTGGTTTTGGCCTATTTTTTTGGGGGTTGCTTCACGCTCCAAAGCTCCACACTCCATTCCTATCTTGTTCATATCAATTTTACATTAAATATACATCCAATAAAATGTTGCCATGTGGCAAGTAATTCTTTTTTTTATAAAATGTCATAACTTTTTCATTTTTGCTCCAATTTTTATAAAAATTATACCAAATTAAATATCTTTTTATGATCTTTCATATGACACCAATATTTTATACTACCTCCGTCCCATAAAACTTGGCCAACTTTCCTTTTTTCGACGTCCCAAAAAACTTTGTCATTTCCATTTAAAGTAGTAAATATGTGGCTAAAGTTATTTCTCTCTCCTCTGCACAAATATCAACCACACAGTTTTTACTTTGTTAATCTACGTGCAAGTCAACATTGGCCAAGTTTTATGGGACAGAGGGAGTATGTAATTTTTTTTTAAAAAATCTGTTCAAGTCTCGTGAACATACGTATTAGAAAACATACGTATTTTTTCATATATGACTCTTGACTACTATTAGAAAACATAGTAATTTTTTCATATATGACTCTTGACTACTATTAGAAAACATACGTATTTTTTTATTCCATTAAACGTTGCTTTGCGCACCCCAGAATTGTTTTACGTAACCATGGCATGACAAATTTGGCATTCTTAATTATTAATTAAAATTAAAATTGTTTTACGCACCTCCTCGCTCAGCTCCATTCAGAATTCAGACGGCTTGCCCCATATCAATTTTACATTCAATCTATATCCAATAAAATGATGTCATGTGGCAAGTAATTCTTTTTTTTATAAAATGTCATAACTTTTTCATTTTTTCTTCAATTTTTATAAAAATTATACCAAAATGAAATATTTTTTATGGTCTTTCATATGACACCAATATTATATATGTATTTTTTTTTAAAAAAATCTGGTCAAGTCTCGGTTTTTTTATAAAAATCGGGTTTTTAAAAATCGCGCTGTCGCCCAGGTTTTTTTGAGTTATGCTAGAGGTACAAACACTTTTACAAAAGTCTTACAAAAGAGGTATGTGGCATCATCACATTATTTAACACATCAAATCACATTTACAACACTTTTACATCAATGTTAATTAGAATAGTCACATCACTTGTTTGTAAGTTTTTTTGTAAGTGTGTTTGTACTTCTAGCATTTTTCGGTTTTTTTACTCTGCTGCTTTTCTCTGCATATCTTTTTTTAATGTTAGATTAAATTAATAAATTCTTGTATTTATAAATGTTATTTTCAATTTTATACGATTAGTTACATATGTTGAGAGAGATGTTTTTGGTACTATTAGTGACGATTCTATTATAGAATTTTTCCAACAAATGAAGCCTATGAGGGTACATCTGTAGAATTGTTGAATGATTTTTATATGTAATTTTTTGCTTTATAATATCTTAATGTTTTGATGGTGTACATTAACTTTGAAGTGTTGTGCTTCTTTAATTTTTTTTATTAGTGTTGAGGTTTATTCCTTCAACCCGCAGGCCCAACACGTAACCTGGGGGTTACGTGTAATGGACAAGTAAGATGAAGAAACAAGCAGGAAATGGGCTAAACAATTGTATTTACTCACTCAAACTACTGCAAGCCGAAGGGCCGAACGTACTGTGCTATGCTACGAACTGTTGTTACTGCTAGAATGCTAGAGTGCTAAATTGCGAACCCTTTACAGTGAAATAAATGCTACTGTTTATACTACCAAGGGGTAGTTGGATGTGTTGACGTGGCTGGCTGTGGACGACATGATCCCAACCACTAAATCTTCCGCATTAAATGCGCTTCTCGCCAAGGTCTTGGTTTCCCGTCAGGGGGTGGGGACGTTCGTCCCCCAAGGCCGGGCCTATGTCTCATGTTGGTGTTCTGACCCTCCGTCGTGGGGGGTAGGGGACGTTCGTCTCCCTACCTTTAGCTTCGTTGATCTACTCCTAAGTTGTCCTTAAGTATCCTGTCACGTGGTGGAGACGTCCGTCCCTATATACCTTGTGGTAGTGTTGGGCCTGGATACACTGGTGGCGGCTAGCAGCAGGATATGTACGCCTCCTGGCCCTTAGGCCTTGATATCTGCTGGTAGTAGGGTACGTACGTCCCCCGGCCCTTGGGCCCAGACACCTGTTAATGGCAGAGTACGTACGTCTCCTGGCCCTTTGGACTAGACACCTGCTAATGGCAGAGTACGTACATCTCCTGGCCCTTTGGCCTGCAGCTTGGCCTTCTTCTTGGGCTTGCGAAATGACGTTCGTAGGAGTTCCTTGGGGGTTGATGGCCCGGCGCATATCGGGTCATTAACCCAACAATTAGTTTTATATTTATTAGAGATTAGAGATATAAAATGGTAGGGACCCCGTGACTCCGACTTTCTGGGTCCACCACTATGACTTCGGGTACAATATTGCTCATTTAGGAGAAGCCGTGATTTTTAGCTTAAATTACAAAAATGTCACAAAAAAATTAGTCTATATTAGTTAATGAGTTGTCTTCCTTAGTTGGGCTGAATGTACATACACCTCGATGGAAGATATAGGGACTCGCAATTTTTTCTTTTTCTTTTTCTTTTTTCTTTTTCCTTTTTCCTTTTCCCTTTTTCTTTTCCCTTTTCTTTTTCTCGTTCGTTTTTTCATTTTTCTCTCTCTTCTTCCAACTGCATACATCGTTTTTTCTTTCGCAGATCCGTTCGCAACGGGACTTACTAGGCTTGCCACCAGTGTCAGAGACTCTGTCCATCATCATCGATGACAGTCGCCGCCGTTGCTGGAGTTCAAGCACATCGTCGTCGTGATCGCCGTTCCTCGCCATCATTTACACTTACAAGCTTCTCCGGCGTTCGAGCGCATCACTGCTGTCCTCTCTCTCACCGACAGATTTTTATTTATTGACGTCATCTCCTTTCTCTGAAGTGGTGAGAAGATGTCTTAGCAACTCTGTTTCTCCGTTGCAGCCTTTCAGGTGCCTTGCTGGAAGGCGGCAGATGAACTTGCGAGAGAACATTAAACCAGCAACTAGAGAAACAGGGAGAAGAATACATTGAACAAAAAGGAAGAAAGCTAGAAAGGAAGAAAGAAATACACAGTATTTCACTATTTGCAATCGTGGGAAGAAACGGAGAAGAAAGGTAAAGGGAAGAAAGAAAAAAGGAAAAGGAAAGGGGGGAAATTGCCACGTGAACGCCACATGTACATTTAACCAAAAAATGAGTGACTTACCTAGTTAAAGCTTCATTGAACATTTTTTTATAGTTCGACGATTCAATGGGGTGTTTTGTAAAGTACGAGAGCTTAATCGTTTTTTTTTTTGAATTTTGATATAGTACAGGGCTTATTTGATAGCTTTTCCAAGATTTAACTATCTTTTCTATTTATAATTTATACATTTCCATAATCTTTGTCTCAACTCACACTTGCTCATTGGCTGAAAAATTTTCATGGTTATTTTTTGTTTTTTAGTTAATTAATAAGCACAATAGTTACTTAAGTTTTACAAAATTAATTACAGTAATTTGTAATGCAAAAGGAGAGGTAATCAGGTATAATCCCCAAAATGTGTTAGGAATGTGAATTATGATCAAAAGCAAAAAAATGAAGTCACGAGTAAAAAAGGATGAAAAAAGCGGCACTTCCTAGTCAACCATCGGAGCCAAAAAATACCCAGACTATGTAATCGTGATTTGTGAACTGTCTGGCACCAGACCCCAATAAAATTGGTGCCGATTACGATTACAGTCTGAAATTCCAAAAGGCTGAACCCAAACTGACACCAGTCCCATCACCCAATCAGCGTCAGGCATCCCTAACTGCCATTCGACATCCCAAATTTGCAGAAAAATCATACAACGTACAAGATATCTTTGAGTTGAGATGAGAGCAAAGGGTTGTACGGAAAGAGGAGGGTTTGAGGTCCAAACCTTTGCCGATTTATTGCAAGCACAAACGAGCTTTAGCCCACCATCGTGGGCTATTTGTGGGCTGGAGTTTTAGTTTTATTAATTATAAACTTTATGTTATGTTTTATAGTTTGGGTTTGTTATTAGTAGAGTTAATTTGGGTCTAATTAGAATTTACTTAATTTGGACTCAATTAGGATTTTGGTTGGGTCTGTTACTAGAAGTGTATTTAAACCTCTTGTTAGGATTCATTCTTGCTGATTAGATAATAAATTTGGATTTCAGCCTTTTGACTAGGGCAACAGTGTCTACCATTGATTATTCTAGACAACGGTTTATTCTGTTAAACTTTATTGTCTGTTCTCATCAAAATGGCTCAAAATTCTACTCCAAGTTTATTGAGAATCGTGAATAGACAATCAAAGATCATTTCTTAACATCTGTAAACTCTCATCATGTTCATCCCAAATTGATCATTCGATTTATTAGTTCATAACTTCTATATATATAGAGAGAGAGGATTATTCCTGTCTGGCCTGGCCGGATAGGAGGGTGGTCCGGCCACCTCAATTTGAGGTGGTTCCCGGTGATAGTTTTTGAGCATGTTTCTCATGAAGTGTAGATGATCTCTACCAAATCTGTGCAAAAAATTCAATCAGGAAGGCAGTCAAATTATTTTTGAAAGATAACTGCATTTTATATGTATATTTTGCCGCAATTATCTTCCAAAAATCATTTGATTACCTTTCTGATTGAATTTTTTGCTCAAATTTGGTGAAGATCATCTACACTTCATGAGAAACATGTTCAAAAAATTTGAACAAAACAGTACCATCGGGAATCACGCCATAATGAGGTGGCCAGACCACCCTCCTGTCTAGCCTAGCCGAAGAGGAACAACACTCTCTCCGTGTGTGTAGGGTCAAGTTCTGCGAGAGCGGAGCTTTAAGAGAGATAACAATGGAACCCTTAAGTAATGGTGTGACTCACGTGCATACAATTATCTTAGTTTCTTAGTTGCAATAGGGACCATATCTAATCACCTAATTTAGGTATGCAGGTGATTAATAAGATAAATATGCTAATAATCATAGCTTCATCTGATTATAAACAAATTACACTACAAATAAGAAGACATCTCCACAAATCTCAATCGCGTTCTGGGGCATCCTTAGATGCGATTATGGCATTAAGATTAGTAGTAGCATGGGTCCATAGTTTTGCCTTATCTTTCTTTGATGAAAGAGAAGAAAGTGTTCTTTTTGGACTGCCCGTCAAGGTAGGAGACGAGCAATATGTTGGGGTGGAAAACGGGGAGGTGTAATGGGTGTGATGAATGCAGAATGGGCTGGGCAACATCCGTTTTTGGATCGGGTGACCACCCATACCTCTGTGGTTGAAGATGGAAGAAGATACATTTGCAGCACAGCTCTTGGTCATGTCGTCTGCGTATAAGACATCATCAATCCTTGCCATGATGTTGAATGCCAAGCTCTCCATCACCCTTGAGTAGCTTTCAAGAATTGACTGGCCTACATCCTGCAATATAGAAAGGATATGAAGATCCTGATATAACATGTCTTTAATTACAGCAGTTTGGTTACCCCCTGGAAAGCGTCACATTCTAAAAAAGGGAGTTTTTTACTCTCCACTTGACCAAACATAATATACAATATTCCTGGAATGTGGCCTTATTGTCCAACTAAAATGATTAAAATCCCCACCTGGGAAAGATAAACTCCCGGCAAGGATGCTCTTTATGTTTTTTTTTTGCTCTCTAGTCTCTATTGCAGTGCTTATTGCGAAACATAAGCCACATCACCTCACTCTAAATTATTCATACATAAGCCTCCTTTAGCGGCAGCCAGTTATGGCTTCTGCTATAAGCAGATTTTAGTCATTGAACTATCAACCAAATTACCAAACAAGCTCTTAAAGAATGATGTAATCTTTTTTCCCTTGACACCCACATAGGAGCCAGGGTCTCATTGAGCAGCTAGGTTTTCCCATTTTAGGCCTCAACTAAGCACTAGGGCCCAATATGCCACCTAGCGATTTTTACACCATTTTGCAATGTTCGGAACGCTGGAATGCAAAAAACATATTAAGAAAAATGATGTTTTTCTGTTGGTTTTACACTTTTACCCTATGTTTAATAAACCGGACTGGAATGGGCAGGTCAACTCGGAAACCGGGGACCCGGCAGCGTAGCCGGTCCGATCACATACAAAATCGCAAAGTTAGCAAAAACCGGAATAACCCGAAGGCTCGCCCTGGCCTGGCCTAAACTGGAACGGATTGCAACCCGGGAAACCCGGAAGAATCTGGATACTTTATCAATTTAAAAATATTCTTGGACGGGATTCGAACCTTCGTGCAGCCAGAGTTATGGAGCCATTGCACTCCAACAAACTACTCAAACCTTTTGTTAAGGAGAGTTCTTTTTGTTAATTGCTACTACATACATATAAATGTAATGATAGATATTACTCTGTATCAAATCTATTATTATACAATCCTAAGAAGAAAATCATACATTGATATTTGGCTAAAGGGTCACAAATAGACCTTCGAACTAACTTAAGTGCAAATCACCCCTTATATAAGAGGCTCTGTCCGGCCATCGCCATTTGGGATGGTTCTCGGTGGAATTTTTTGATGAACTTTTTTGAGCATCTTCTTCATTAAGTCTAGTTTATCCATACCAAATATCAGATAAAAATTTAACCGGAAAGACAGTCAAATGATTTTCTGAAATGTACTGTGTTGTTTAATTGCGCAGTTATCTTCAAAAATTCATTTGACTGCCTCCCCGATTGAATTCTTAGCTGAAATTTGGTATGAATAAACTAGACTTAATGAAAAATATGCTCAAAAAAATTCATCAAAAAATTCCATCGGGAACCGCCCCAAATGGCAACGGTCGGACAGAGCCTCCTATATAAGGGATATTTGCACTTTTTAAGTTAGTTCGAAGGCCTATTTGACCCTATAGATGTTAAGTAAGATATCAAATAATAATATTGATTCAAACATGCCTAAAACTATATTTTGGAATAAGTATATGAATATATTTGAATATTAAAACTATCTTTCCTCTCTTGTTTTCTTTTATCGTTTATCTTCTCTATCTTTTTATGTTCTTGTGTGTGTTTTTTATCTTCTAGCTTTTTATGCTCTTTTATCTTTTTATCTTATCTTTCTTACATAGTATATTCTTATGCTAGTGTTATCTTATACTACCTCCGTCCCATTTTATGTATCTCATTTGACTTGGGCACAATTATTAATAAAGTGATTGAAAAGGTAAAAGTTGTTGTTGAAATTTGAGTATAATAAATTGAAATGTTGTGACCCACATATTTCTTTCCTAAAAGGGAAATGTGACACTTATTTTGGGATAACCCAAAAAGGAAAATAAGACAAGTAAAATGGGATGAAGGAAGTATTTATTTATCTTTATCTTATCCGTTTTATCTTATTTTTTTCTTCTTGTCTGTCTTCTCTTGTTGGCATCGATATCATGAATCGATTCATGTTAGCCGACCCCAAAATCTTTTGGAATTAAGGCTTGGATGTTGTTGTATTATGTATGAAAAATGCTTACTAAGTATTCAAATGTGAATAAATTAAGTGTTCTTATTCAACACTATGTTGAAATATTAAAAAAATAAGACTAAAAAATATCAAATAACATTTTGGATATTTTTTAATCTTATGTATATACTTCGTATATATATATATATATATATATATATATATATATATATATATATATATATATATATATATATATATATATATATATCAATGTATGTTTATTTATTACTATAAAATTATATACATAGTTGACCGAGTTAACCCACCGGGTCCGGGTTGACCAGTGACCCGGTCATTTGACGGGTCGCTTCACGGTCCGATTTTATACAACATAGGTTTTACATAGGAAAATAAAAAAATGATTGAAACTTAAAAAATTCTATACAAAATTTAGTGTAGAAAAATGTAACATGTATTTGTTATTTTAATTATTTGTACATCTGAAACTGTATAGATAAGACTTAGAGTAGATAAAACTCTCTAACTTGTAGATAAGCTCGCAGAATAGATAGATCCTATATTTTAGGATCTGTAACAACTAGGCTTTATCTGTAACTTATATATATATCATTGCCGGATGGCTCAATAATATTCAAGGAAGATTAATTCTTCAAACCTACATGGTATCAGAGCCTCGGTTTAAACAATGGTAGAAACCAGTGATGCTGATTCCTCACACACTATCAACCCTAACTCCCAAATTAGCCCTATGACAAATTACCAGTCTCCTATCCATTCATCTATGATAATCACTAGTCACAGATTGAATGGAACAAACTATCTGGAGTGGTCTCAATCTGTCAGACTTGCAATTGATGGGAGAGGAAAGCTGGGTTACATCACAGGAGAAATCAGACCAAAACCACCTGCAGAAGAAGGTTACAGTACATGGAGGTCAGAGAATTCACTCATAACAGCTTGGCTTCTCAACTCCATGGAGCCCTTAATTGCCAAACCTCATATGTTTATGAAAACTGCAAAGGAGGTATGGGACTCTATTAAGGAAACTTATTCAGATCTTGAGAACTCTTCTCAAATTTTGGACTCAAAACCAAACTGTGGCAATCTAAACAAGGAAATAGGGATATTATTTCATACTACAATCAAATGGTATCTCTATGGCAAGAATTAGATCAATGCTATGGTGATGAAGAGTGGGAGAGTGATAAGGATCTGGCCAGACATAAGAAAAGAGAAGAGAATGATAGGGTCTATATGTTTCTAGCAGGGATCAATAGGGACCTAGATGAAAAGGCAGAATACTGGGAAAGAAACCTCTGGCCTCAATCAGAGAGGTCTTTTCTGAGATCAGGTTGGAAGATAGCAAGAGGAGGGTCATGTACAACACTCCAGTACCTAATGAGGAACCTGGGGACTCTTCAGCTTTAGTGGCCAGAAGTGATGACAAGAAAAAACCTTGGTGTGATCAATGCAAAAAATTGTGGCACACAAGGGAAACATGCTGGAAACTTCATGGAAAACCACCAGGAGCTGGAAAGAAGAAAGTTGAGAGGGCCCTACAAACTACTGTGACTGAGACTAAACAAGAGTCAGGAGTTGAATCTAAACAGCTGTCATTCACTCAGGAACAGATAGAGTACCTACTCCAATTTATACCCACCCAGAAAATCTCCAACCAAGAAAACCCTTCATGTTCTTTTGCCCAAAATGGTAAAATAACATCATTTTTTTGTTCTGAAAAAACAAAAAACACCTGGGTCATTGACTCAGGTGCAACAGACCACATGACCTACAATCCAAATCTCTTTTCTTCATATCAACCTTGTGCAGGAGATAAGAAAGTTAGAGTTGCAAATGGCTCTTTTCCAACCAAGAAAACCCTTCATGTTCTTTTGCCCAAAATGGTAAAATAACATCATTTTTTTGTTCTGAAAAAACAAAAAACACCTGGGTCATTGACTCAGGTGCAACAGACCACATGACCTACAATCCAAATCTCTTTTCTTCATATCAACCTTGTGCAGGAGATAAGAAAGTTAGAGTTGCAAATGGCTCTTTTTCAACCATAGTAGGGATGGGAAATATTAAAATTTCCTCATCCATTAACCTTTCTAAAGTCTTACATGTTCCAAAACATTTCTGCAATCTTATCTCTATTAGCAAAATAACCAAAGACCTTCGGTGTTGTGTAAAGTTTTATCCTTCTTATTGCATTTTTCAGGATCTGGCATCGGGGAGGATGATTGGCAGTGCTAGAGACTGATCAAGAGAAGATCTATGGCTAATGGAATCTGTGAACTGCTCTGGATCAAGAGACTGATTTCAGAGTTGAATATGAAAATGGAACTACCTATGAAGTTATATTGTGACAATAAAGCAGCCATTAATATTGCTCACAACCCTGTGCTACATGATCGTACTAAACATATTGAAGTGGACAGGCATTTTATCAAAGAGAAGATTGAAGCTGGAATTGTGTGTACACCATTCATATCTACCAAAGAACAAGCAGCTGATATCTTTACAAAGGGGCTGTTTAAACCAGTGTTTGAACTACTTATAAGCAAGTTGGGAATGTATGATATATACTTACCAACTTGAGGGGGAGTGTAGAAAAATGTAACATGTATTTGTTATTTTAATTATGTGTACATCCGGAACTGTATAGATAAGACTTAGAGTAGATAGAACTCTCTAACTTGTAGATAAGCTCGCAGAATAGATAGATCATGTATTTTAGGATCTGTAACAACTAGGCTTTATCTGTAACTTGTATATATATCATTGCCGGATGGCTCAATAATATTCAAGGAAGATTAATTCTTCAAACCTACATTTAGATTTCCTACTCTTTATATAATAGAAACACTTCAGAAGGAAAAGAGTTTGAACAATATATAAAATTTATTTGTTGAGTTAGAAGCAAATTTTCATTTTGCCACTAAATTTCCTCTCTGTAAAGCTCTATAATTTCTTCCCCTAGTATAATCCGTGTTACAAATATACCATTGGGAAATGGGGGCAAAAAAAGCGAGTTTGTAGCAAGGAAAGACTAAATAATACCTTGTTGTACTGAATCTTATACATATCCAAAGCAGTTTGAGGTAGACCAGGGAAGCAAAGCCTCAAGTTATGTAAAAGGGTTTCTGCTCGCTCAGCCAGAAAATAGTACCTACCAACATCAGCTACAAGACCCTTGACCTTACCTCCCCAGGTTTTGTGCTTCGGTTTTTGAGGATTCAAATGGTTTTTTTGGTCTTTCAGCCTCCATACATACACTGCAGCTTCAATTCTATTAGTCACTTCAAGTGAGTGATGCTCAGTGGATAAGTCCAAGGACTCAAGAAGACTTTCAGGAGAAAAGTTGTCAGAGGTGATGTTGTGATAAATAAAATCACCCAAGCACGTTTTTCCGCTCTGTAATTGTAGAGTGAAGAAGGATTTAGTGATCAAAAAAGAATATATTTGAATGAAAGAATAAGGGAGTGCTTGGATTCTAGGAAACGCTAGGAAAATGAAAAAAATGCTAAGAAAATTGGTTTCATAAAGTTTAAAATTGCACTGGAACGTGCAGCTGGGAATGAAATCATCATTACTCTAGTGCCGCAAAGTCTCCCACCAACAGTGGGGTAAGGGGGGTCGGATGTATGCAGTCTTACCCTGTATTAAGGCAGGGAGAAACGGTTTCCGGGTGTCCCACGGTGAAAATCGAGTCAAAATTTGCATGGACTGACTGCTACTTCATAACAAAGAAACGCAGACATTTTAGTGATCCATTTTACTTTATTACATAATATTCCCAAGCCAAAAACTTTAGTATAGAAATAAATATACAAATTCATACCGAATTAAGAAAAAATATCTAAAATAAACCTATCGATTTTGAGCTTCTTTCGTTCACCCAAATTTTCTTGGTTTCAAATTTTCTTCTTTGTTTATCTTCAAATTTTCTTTCTAGAGTATTTTGCAGTTTCCAACAGAGCCTAAAGGTTAGTCATCAACAGAAAAAAGAACAATAGACGTTAAGATTAAATAGGGCTTCCAAATGGGTCATATTAGCAAATCAATTAACAGGTTTTACAAGACTCACAGTGTGGTCCCATTAACCGGTTAAAGCAATTGTTCCTGAGCGTTAAATTTTATCCTTCCCAAAATACCAATAACGAACATTAAATTTCATGTTTTGAGGGAACAATACTACATATCTCCTATATAAGGATTCATGTTTAACCACTTTCAAACTCTTTTGGTATAAAGTACAATCTAAGCAAGTCGTTCATAAAAGTTATATTATTTACATGTCATTTTGTTGATTTAACAAAGTTTATCATCATCAACTTTGTTATGACGCTTTATTGAAAAAACCTCATAACATTAGTTGTAAAGAGCCTTTTTAAAAGAATATTGTTAAAAATACTCCCTCCATCCCATTTTACCTGTCTTACTTTACTTTTTGGGTAATCCCAAATAAGTGTCATATTTCGTTTTTGGAAAGAAATATGTGGTCCACAACATTTCAATTTATTATACTCAAGCTTCAACTACAACTTTAACCTTTTCAACCGCTTTATTAATAATTGTGTCAAACCAAAACAAGACACGTATGATGGGATGGAGGTAGTACTTTTTTTTGGGGGGGGGGGGGGGCAGGGCAAGTAATTAATGCAACACATGCTTGGCAGAATCATAGTCGCATTTGAAACTAGGGAAGTTATCATGCCTTACTTGAGGCAGTTCCAAAATGAACACATTAGATGGTTACTCAGAGCAGTAGAGCTCATTGGATAAGGGTTGTCTTTTTGTGCTGAGAGGGCAGGTGTTAGGTAAAATTGGTTTCAACAATATAGGGAAATTTCACAAGATAGGAGTAAAAACAATGTGGTTTCCTAAATAGGAGTGCCATGTTTTTTTCTTCTAAATGAGAGTAAAATACTAAAATCCTAAAACTATAATGCCATATTATGGCACTGTCAGACATTAATACTGCAATAATAATTTCATAATATGGTAGTATTTTTCATGATGATAATATTTATTCCTGTTTGAGAAATAATTATAACACTCCTATTTAGGGCAATTTCTTAATAATAAAGCCCAAGGCTACTTATTCTAAATTTCTAATCACTATACTAACAAGAAAAATAAGCTAATTGTGAATGTGAGAAAGCTATAGAAAGACTATCACACCTTGGGCAAGGTTTCCAAATAGGCTCTAGGGGTCTCCATTTCAGCAAGAACACTACTATTAATAGCCAAAGCGGCCTTCAGTAGCTGGTTGGTGCAATCCCTGCATTGTTGCAATCTCTTTCTTCCATCTTCTGACAACCCCTTGGGTGGGACTTTAGGGCAAGGAAGCCACCACTTGTCTTCCTCCCTAACTGAAGGCCTCCCTGACGAATAGGAATAGGAATTGTCTGATTCTGCAGCTAAAACCAACCCACGGTCAACGTACCAAAACTCTGTTTCAGAAAAGCCATCAAGAATGGAAAGCAGCATAGCATCAATCTTCTTGAGGGCAGGGAGGTTGACATATAGATCAGATCGGGGCCGTGTTGCCATTACTTCATACATGGGCCCTCCTCCTCCAGGAAACTGTTGTGTTGAAGGTACAAACTCAACAATGGAATCACTCACACATAAAAGCCACTCCATCTCCCTATGCCACATGTCCTTCTTGTGTGTAGGTAACGGCTCTAATCTCCAGAGTTCCCCAAATATAGTTGCTGCAATGTTCACATATGAATAACATGAGTATGGGGTTCAATTTCATGCTTCAAGAAATGTATGATTTTTCAACAAGAAAATAAAGTAAATATATAATATTAAAAAACAATACATTTATCACAACAAATGTTTGGATATTAGGTGGTGAATTAAAGTTGTAAATGTCTAAAAAATCTAGAATTACAGTAATGTCTTCATTTACTCATTTGTATAGATGGATGGAAATTATTAGAAGCGTGAAGTAAGAATGAAGGCATGGGGAGGGTGGAAACCAGAAAGATTAGTTATGGCATTTGAGATGGCAAGTGCTGTGCACACCCCTTGACCTCCTCCAGACATGTCCTCACCAAGAAGAAGCTTAGCAAATCTCTCCTTCATCAGTTCAGCTTCTATGAGCAAAAACAATTAGAAAAGCTTTAAAAAGAGAGGGGAAAGGAAAGGTATGGAAATTGACGAACCGGATAAATGAGATTGGCGGTTCCAAAGGAGCAAATCTTTGGCACAGGAAGGCGTGAGCGGTGGCACGGGAACGGAAGAGACTGGGAAGGGTGGAGAAGCGGCGAAGGTACTAGAAGAAGTGTCGGACTCGCTGACGTCGGCGCTTGGACTGTAGCTAGCGCCGCCGCATCGCTGGCTCCGCTGACCGCACCCCTCTTCCGACGACACACTCCCCATACGCACAATTTATTTCAGAGCAAGGAGAGAATTTTCTTCACACACTATATAACACTGAACAGTGCAGCAGCAGCAGCTTCTTTCTGCTGGGTATGTGGATGGACGGCTGGCTCCCTCCCTCCCTCCCTCCCTTGGGAATGGTGAAAATTTACGCTTTCCGATTTTCGAACATTCATACAAGTAAAAACTGTTTCGTTTAAGTTTTAAGGGACTTAAAGGGAGGGAGTATTCAATAATTCATTCATAAATAAATGTGTACGTACTACAGTATTTGCTTTTGAATTACACCCGACATTACATGGTATTCGTCATGGATGGATATCATATTTGTACTGCTCCTAATTAATTTCTCGGTACCCATCACTTTTAACCTTTTCGCCATCAATACTCATAAATTACTGCTCACATATTATCATCGCTTTTACAAATTCCCATCGATTGAGTGCACCTTGAAAAATAGGTTACTCAAACTAGGGCTGGGTGCTTGGGTCTGAAAACTCGAAAACCGAAAATCGAATCAAATCATACTGAATCGTAGTCAAATAAAACCGAACCGCTAACAAACCAAAATTGAATGTAAAAAACTGGATCGAACCGTAGTTGTTTGGTTCGGTTTTGGTTTTTACCCTTCAAAACCAAATCAAACCGAACAAACCGAATTAGTTAAAATATACGGAGTAAAATTTATTTGTCCATTGTTAAGCATTAATCCTAACTAATCCTAATATCATTAATAGTTTTTTGTTTTCTTGTGCTAGAGAAATAATGTTTGTTATGTTTAGTTTAGTTTGTGAATTCATTTACACATTCATTGCACGTAATAATGTAGCTATACTGATAATATGTTTTTACTTGTTATTAGTATTAATTAACTTTTATTTTTATTTAACTTAAAGAATTCGTATTGATGAAACAATAAATATTTATCTCAACTATATCACATATAACGTATATACTCATGAACTTTTTTTGAACTAGTCACAAACAATGTAAATTAATAATATATATTTTTATCTCTCTCGCATACTCATATAATTTATGACATATTTATTTATTTTCATTTTTATTTTATTTGTTGTAGTGTGCTTGCATTCTTTATGTAATATATGTTTGATCCCTCAAAGTATTATATCAATTTTAAATCAAATGATAACTTTTTGGTAAAAAACCGAAAAAATCGAAACCGAATCGAAACAAACCAAACCAATTAAACTGTGGTTCCAAGTTTTGGAGTGTAGAACCGAACCAAAACCGAACCGAACTTTTTACTTTGATTCTATATTTGGTTTTAGGTCAAAACCGAACCGCAAGAACCGAACCCACCCCTAACTCAAACTCGTATATCGTATCAAATGGGAGTGTCACTCATACTACCTCGTCCCTTAAAACTTTGCCAAAGTTGTCTGACACGGAGAATAATAAAGTAAAAATTGTGTGATTGAGGTTTGTGCAGAGGAGAAAGAAATAACAAAAACCACAAAATAATTGATTAAAAGGGAAAGTGACAAAGTTTTTTGGAACGTCCCAAAAAGGAAAGATGACAAAGCTTTAAGGGACGGAGGGAGTATCTGTTACGAGTATATTTATTCATTAGCAAAACTCTCTTCGGAAATAAATTTAATAATTTGGAAAGTACTTCTCTTTATATTACTGGTTCGGATAATGGGCCGGGTTCAGTGGAGGACCTATGGGGGCTGGAGGGGCAAGTGCCCCCGCTCCGTTCCTCAATTTCACTATTAGTACTTACAATAAAACAAATACCTTCTGAACCCGAACAAAATAGTACCACTTCCCCCAGCTTGGACAAAAAAAATACCAGCATACTAAAAACTTCATTGTTATATAAATTTAAAAAATGATAAAATATTTAAATATGGGTTGAATTAAAATAAAAGATAAAGAGTTCTTTAAAATTAGTGAGTCAAATACAGAATCACTCACTTGTTTAGCATGTCTTGATTCTAATGATAAGTTCTTCGATTTCTATGCATGAATCAAAACTAGTGAACCTTGCAGAGTTATATTAATGCAGTTTTTCATCTGTTAATTGAATGGAGCTGAGATAGAAACTTCGGGTGTGGATATATGAAATGAGAACATGTGAATTATTTTCTGACATACAAACTATTAGTGAAGTTTGTGGAAAAATCAATTACATGGTTGAGCCTAAAGTTCACAAGTGTTTTCACCTAGTATGTCGTCTCATTGAGATAGTTTTAATGTTACCAGTTGCAACACTCATCGCTGAAAAGAGCTTCTCCGCAATCAATATTATTAAGACGAATTTGCACAACAAGTCGGGAGATATTTTTAGAAGCATTGATAATGAAACTATTATGCAACATTATTAAAATATGAAAATCCACGAGCTTGATTTATCGAGGTTGCAGTAATGAACTATTTATTACTTCATTCATTCTTTTTTATTGCAACAGTCCTTTTTCTGATTTGTTAACGCACACCTTTGACCATTACTATATTTCATTCCTTAATAGTAAAAATTAAAAAATAAGATATTAAATATTTGAAATGAGAGGAATTCTACAATATTTTTCAAACATTTAAGTAAAAAAAAGATCGTGAATAGTGTAAAATTCACTTATGTTACAACTAAAAACGAGTGGATGTAGTGTGTAATTAACTACCTCGTATAATTTATACTAACGACTTACTTTTTTACCATTTTCATTACATTTAGAGTTAACTATTTTAAATTAAGTTTAGTATCCAGCATACCCCTACTCCACAGATCTCTGGGTCCCCATTGGTCGGGTTCATTACTAACGGCTTGTTATGCCCGAGCATGGACCTGACCAGGCACAAAACACAATTCCGTTAGCAGAACACAAGTAGTATTATAAATAAATATAAATATGTATGAACGCTGAGATTTTTACGTAGAAACTCTAATGCATATAAATATGTATGTTTTTGCGTGAAATTCTGATACTGTAATTATTAACAATAATGTTCATAGTAAAATTATTATATAACTCACATTCATACATTAATAGAAGCGAAAAAATAGGTTCACATATTTTTAAGAATAATAATATGACTAGGTCCGTTTTTTATAAATAGTGTGATTAATATATATTGAATCTTTTTATCTATATAAGTTTTAACTCCATGATGTATACTTATATTTATCTTTGTATGCATAGTTATTAATTGTAACATGATGGTACCATGAACTACGGCCATGGCCAAACGTAGAATTATAGTAAAAGCCCATAAACGGGATCAAACCTTAATGGGATGAAGCCCATGAATGGGATCATCCCATAAACAGGATTAATATCAGTTAGCCGATGGGTCTAACTAGGAATCCTACCCGCGAAAGGAATCCACAGCTAGGTCAGGCTGGACAACAGACCTCAAGTCTGGGCAGAATTCTAGCGAGGTCGAACTCTTCCTAGGGCTTATATGGTAGGCTATTATTCGAGCATAGCTATCTGGCAGCAGACATGAGTAACAGAAGAAAAGTTGACCTAGATAAAGCAATCATTCCACAACGATCAATGCGTTACAGGACTCTCGTGTGATTAATAACATTTAATGCATCGGTTTCTTCTTAGAATACTAGTTCCTAAGATCTATAAATACTTCTTGTACTCATCCTATCATAGGACCGGAAAACATACATTCACACATAAGTCATCCATAAACATACATAATAAGTAATTGAATACGCAGCGGAAAACATAGTTTGAAAACAAATACCACACGGGGCAAACACGAGCACGCAGGCTCCATAATGAAAAACAATATCCATGAGCATGTTTATTAATGTTCAAAAACAGAATGGAGGAAACACGAACCAAGTCTTCTCTCCTAGATGATCACTCGAGCAATGAGCACAGGAAGCAAGCTCTAGCCTCAACCTGAAATGGTGGTGGGACGCCCCCGAAAGGGGACAGTACTCTATACGGCTATAAAGTACTGGTGTGGACGGCATCTAATAGATATACAACAAGTATTTCAAACGCAAGACCCTCAAATTGGGTGATAATATAATCTAGGCCGTAACCCCAAGAAGATTTGTCATTTCAATTTAACGTAAGGAATATGTGGCTAAAATTAATTCTCTCTCCTCTGCACAAATTTCAACCACACAATTTTTACTTTATTAATCCACGTGAAAGTCAACTTTGGCCAACCTTTTTGGGACGCATGTAGTATATAAAGTTAAGTAGTCGGCCCATAGGCCCAAAGTTTGTTTACAAAACATAACCCAAACCCTATGACCCCTAGTCACGACAATACATAGGGTCCAACCCTAACACATATGGTTGCATTTCTTGAGTCCAACTCAACTACATCACCATGCACCTCATATGACACAAGTTAATTACTTCACAATGCATTTCTTGAGTCCAACTCAACTACATCATCGTGCACATCATAGGCTACAGCCTCATATCTCCCACGCATTCTTGAGTCCAACTCAACTACATCACCATGCATGTCATCAATCACCACGTCATGTCTACCCAATGCAATTCTAGAGCGCGGCTCAAGTACATCTCCTTACATTGGCATAGACCCCAATTCCTAAGCACTCACTATGCCTAGAATTGAAATATCGATAATCAATTTTGGGACATCCTCACGGACTGTCTCATCATGATCTGACATCATATTACATCAATTTAGTCACTTGCATCACAATCAAGTACATCAATTACAATCAAATCCTTAGATTCAATTCCTTAACAATTACGACAATCATTAACTAGTATTTCAATACTATTTAGATTATTCTTATCCATCATATATTCTATTTGTAACTCCCTACATATTTAGAGATATGTAGCAGCAACTTAATAATCCAATGTAATACATAAATAATCATTTATATATCTACACAATTCACACATGAGTAAAAATGCCTATTTCACACAATAGTTCATTTAACTCCATTTTTATCAATACATTTCCAAATCATTTCCCATTTCATTATTTGGCAACTATATCAATATTTCATCAATAATTTATCATCATAACCCATGAAAAAACATGATTTAGCCATTCAGGTAATCTCATGCTTAACCTACAAGTTGTAAGCAACTAGATGTCGATCCTCACCTCAAATGAGCTTTAAAGTATTCCTTCTCAACCCAATGCTCAAGCTTCGGCAAAGGGGGTTTGAGAATTGGTTCCTTGC